CAGACCTCTCCCATCATTCCCTCGACTCCTGGATATACTGTGGCCACCTTCAATGCTAAATCATGTTGTTAAACTGCCTGGTGACCCAAGGCCCACAGGGAAATAAGCAAACTCTTATAAGGCAAAGGTCAGACCTTTTTTGGGCAAGGTTAAATTCTTTCATAAGGAGTACATCATAATCAATTTATTTTAGAGAAATCAGGATTGATTTTTATTTTACTTATATTAAGTTCAGGGGCACAAGTGCAGGTTTGTTACATCTGTAAACTTGCATTATTAGAGTTTGTCGAACAGATTATTTTACCACCTAGGTAGTAAGTCTAGTACCCATTAGTTCTTTTTCCTGATCCCCTCCCTCCTCCCACCCTTCAGCCTCTGAAATGCTCCAGCATGTGTTATTCTCCTCTACGTGCCCATTTGTTCTTATCATTTGCCTCCCACTTATAAATTAAAACATGTGGTATTTGATTTTCTCTTCTGGTGTTATTTTGCTAAGGATAATGGCCTCTTGCTCCATACATGCAGCTGCAAAGGACATGATCTCATTCTTTCTTGTGACTGCATAGCATTTAATGATGTATATGTGCCACATTTTCTGTATCTAGTCTGTCACTGATGAGCATTTAGGTTGATTTCATGTCTTTGCTATTGCGAATAGTGCCACAATGAACATCCATGTTCATGTGGCTTTATAACAGAATGATCTCTATTCCTTTGGGCATATAACCAGTAACAGGATTGTCAGGTCAAATTGTATTTCCGTCTCTAGATCTTTTAGAAATCACAACATTGTCTTCCACGATGGCTGAACTAATTTACACTCCCACACAGTATACAAGTGTTTCCTTCTCTCCAGAATGTCACCAACATTTGTTATTTTTTGATTTTTTAATAATCGCCATTCTGACTGTGAGATGGTATCTCATTGTGGTTTTGATTTGTATTTCTCTAATAATCAGTGATGTTGTGCTTTTTTCATATACATAATCAACATTTTTTAAATGAATGATTATCAGAAAAACCTTTGAAGCACTAAGGTAAAGTAAATCTTTGTAAATAAAGTATTTATTGAAACAAACCATAACTCTGTGTTCACATATTACCTATTGCTACTTTTGTACTAAGGAACTAAGTGAGGGAAATAGAAAAGAGACACGTTTTGCCAAACCTAACTCAAAAAGAATCTTTTTTACAAATATGATTGCTATGTATCTTTCAAACTAAGCAAGGAACTCTTAGAACAAAGAAAACAATAATCTAAAAAAATGTTCAGCTTTATCAAAATTAAAAAAAATAGTGCTTTGAAAATCACTGTTAAAAAGTCAATCCACGAACTGAGAAAATAGTTTCAAGTATTTGATAAAGAACTTGTACTCAAATATGTAAACAACGATTATGACAAAAATTAAAAGATATATGACTAATAAAAAGTAGGCAATATTGTGAAGGAGATATTACACAAAGAAAAATGCAAGAAAACCCAAAAAGAAACCCCACAAGAAAAGGCCCAATGTCATCTGTTTTCAAGGAAATGAAAATTTAAAACTCATTAATATTGAATTTCATACCCACTTGGATGGCTATAATTATACAGGTTTACATCAATTTTCTTAATAATGTTGACAAACTGGCCCTCATATACATTGCTAATCGTAGTGTAAATTGTACAATCACGTAGGAAAAACTTCTGGCAGCATATTATAATGTTAAATAGGACTCAATGTGACCTAGCAATTGTACTTCTAGACATTCATCAAGAAAATATGTCCACAAAATGACTTGTACACCCATAATCACAGCAAATTTATTCATAGCTTCCTTACACTGGAACAAAGCAAATATTCATGAGAAAGAAAATATATGAACATATTTAGTTATATGACATTTTATAGAATACTACATATCCTATATTATATTAATTCAGTATTATTTAACAACAAGACAGAAAGTACTACTAATACATGCAAAAGCATTGATGGAAATCTCAGGCATTATATCACCATATTGAGCAAAAGAAGTGGGGCATGCAATATAATGCTTTATAATTCCATTTATATGAAGTTGTAGTACTGATAAAACTGATGTATGATCAAAATTTTCTAAAAAGATACTACATCTAGGAATAATTGAATGGAGAGGGGCAGGAGAATGCTTTCAGGAACTTTATGAAAGTGTTTTTTATATTTATAAGAATCATACTGTGCAGACGTATGCATTTGTTTAAATTATTCAAATAGAATGTTTTGAGATTTTGGCATTTTGCTGAATGTAAATTTTACCTAAACAAAATATAATCTATAAACATATTTAATTATAAACAATAAAGGTGCTTTTCATAGTGCTAGGTATTAGCTTTTCTGACACTACTTTCTGTGTAGTTGGACAATAGAGAAAGTATATTGAAGTAAACAGGAGCACAATTTCTCGATCTTTCCTCAGGCAAATATTTTTATACAGGATTTCCATGAGCCTTGAATGCCTTTCCTGCAATCTCTCCTTCCCTTTTCCTACTTTGTTAATTTTTTTTTCTAATATATCAATACCACCTGTCCTAACTCTCCCTTGAGTTATAAAATATCAAAACCCGTCTCAATAATCTACAAAACTTCGATTATTATATATTTCCATTTAATTATAATTTACTGTAAGCACTTGTTTACTTAATTTGTCTTTCCAGTATTCTATGGGCTTCTGAAAGTCTGGATCTTTAGCTCTTCTTTTCTGTCCTTTCCCTTTCTTAATTGAATATTCACAATTTTTCACTTTGTACTTGAGTCACACATTCTCTTCAAATCATATAAATAATTATTTTAACTAAGTTAAGAAAATAACATTATAAACAGAAACCAATATCTTATGTAATTATATAACTACCTTATTTCCTTCACTATATTTTATAATGTATTTTACCAGCATTTATTTAGAAATAAAGTGTCTGGTTTCCACACACATACACAAACATACACACACGTCCCCCCCACACACACATACATATTTATGCACATACAGTCTCTCTAGCTCACAAAATCAGTTTACAGAGTTAACAAATATCTATGTCCACATGTTGGGCTCAAACATAGAGTCCATTTAAGCAAGAATCTCTTATATCTCTCGTTGTTAGGTTTATCAAATAAAAACAAATCTGAACTTTGGACTTATGTAAGGAGAAACTTTATTCTAAAAGATTACTGCAATGAGGGAATGGCAACTATTGAATTAGGGGAGGTGAACTGTGGCAATAGAACCATCCATCCTCCAACTGTGAGACTATAAGTATTTCCAAGATCAGGCAGAGAAAACAGGCTAAAAAGAATCCTAGTGTGGGATTGGGTAGGTGATGTGATCAATTTTTTGACCAGACAATGGCTTTGTAGTCAGCGAATTCTTGGGGGGGCTTTCTGGAGGGGTTGTTTTATATTCTGATGCTGGCTTAGATCAAGAGTGGTCAAGTTCAGGGGCCTGGGGGAAGAAGAGAAGGCTGAGCAAAGTTTGGTCAAGTCAGCAGATATTTTGTCCAGATTGAACTAAGGCGTATCAACAGCTCAGCTAACTATTTATAAGACAAAGAACAGTAATTTGCAGGATGTGTGTCTGGCCTTGACATACATAAAAAAGGGACATAAGTAAATGCTATCTAAGTCATATGAAGAGGGTTGGTTCTTTGTGGTAAGCCACTGTGCAGAAGACAAAGGGTTGGGTGAGAAGTTTTCTCTCTTAACTATTGCTGCTTTCCAGAAACATGTTGCTTGGATTATATCTAACATTGTCCCATTTCCAATAATTTATTTAAACCAAAAATACCCAAGTAATCATGTTAATGTTACCCAAAGTAATATTTTTCATAACAAATATTATTTTTAATTTAAGAAAATAATTAAAAGTTTATTTCAAGATTCCTGTCTTTAACTTCATAATAAAGAAAGTTATGGGAGGTCATTGTTTTAGACTACTTCTTTACACTGGGCCTTAGCAGACTAAACTGAACCAGAGGACTAACCTTGTGCTACTTGCCAGGTAATCAAACTGAACTTCGAAATGGACCAATTTTTAAAACAGGAGATTCTAGTCAACTTGAGCGGCTGTAATAAGGAAATCTCCTTTGTTCTAATCCTATGAGAAAAGTAACCAAAACTGATGACTTGGCTTTTGTTGTTTGTGTCTCCTTTCTTCAGCTTTTTTCTGCCTGTAAAGCCAACTTCTGTTTGGATCACTGGAGTACTTGTTCTCTTTTATGGAGCGAGATGTTGCCCAATTCTGGAATCATGAATAAATGCCAATTAAGATTCCTTAAAACTAAATTTGCTGCAATTTCATATTTTGACTCATAATTCTTTCACAAACATATGGCAGTTTTTGAAAATAAAGTCTGTCATTGACTGTATAAAGTTATGCTGATGTGCAGGCATGTTTTTGACATGAGAAAAAATACAAGTACTTAGGAAGTAACGCACATGTAGCAAATGGTTTTCTTAAGTAGGTGATTTCTGAAAGATTTTCACAGTTTAAAATCCAAACTTACAGAAAATGGGTTTCACTTTTCAAAACACCATAAATAAACAGCATCTGTTACCTGTTAGTTTGTCATTATCAATAGCCAGATCAATATAAACTTTTTTAAAGTGTTATTACACTACAAACTGTGTAAAGGTGATAGTGAATAACATTTATATCTAAATACTAAAAAATGATAAAACTGGTTGATAAACACAGGAAGATTTCTAACAGGAAAACAGAATAAAATTGAAGAGGAACACTGACCCAAAACAGATATATGGGGACATTTAGAAATATTTTTTAAAACATATTGAAATATTCAACCTAGATTAAACAGCTTTCCTAAAAAATCCCAAATAAGGTGATTATTTCAGCAAGTTAAGGCACCCAAAGAAACATGTTGCCAAGTAAGTGGATCATCTTTAAATCATTTGGACATATTTTGAACCAGTTTAAGAAAAAAAATGTCAAATTACAAACAGAAGAATACTTTTAGCTTTTAAAACATTTCTAAGGACCCTACATTTCAAAATAGATGACCAAATGTTACAGCAACATTTTTCATTACCTATATTTTATATGCTGAAAAGGTAATAGTGGAAGGCAATTTAGGAGATAATGATCATGAACTGGAAGGGAATAAAAGAACCAAGAAAATGGACTTTAAAAACATATGCATCAGCAAGCTCATACAACTAGTAAGAAAGAATCCATTGACAGGAAGTCTATAGCAAAATTGGAAACTGGCAGTTTCTAAGAGGTAATAATAAGAGCAAAGAAAAACTATACCTATGGAAATAAAATATAAAAGAATCACTTGGTAGATTATTTGAATAAGGTGTGAACTTTTTAAGAAAATTAGTTACAGGGACAACTCAAAGATAAGTATGCAAGTACAATTCAAGAATTTCTAGAAATCATTGGGAGGACCAAAGTCAAAATAAATTGCACCTAGCACAGAATCTTTACCATTAAAGACACAGTAAGTAAAAGTTCATTCAGACATGGAGAAATAGGTTATCATCTTTGGAGATGGAAAAAAAAACAAAAGGAAAACTGGTTCATGACCATGCCACCCTGACCGCACTCAATCTCTCTTAGTCTCAGGAAAAAAAATATGATAAAATAAAATAAATAAATAAATAGCTAAGCAAAAATTCTCATTTTATTAGTTGTTTTACACTTTCTCTGTACTAAAATTTTATTATATATAGTATTAGATATATTGACCTAAAAGAAAAAAAGCTGACTCCAAATTAATACAAGTAAAGAATTTATTGGGATCAAGTTTGAAAATTGTTCAACTGAACAATCATAAGGATCATAAATTTGGAAAGGAGAGCTTTATTTCTCATAAAGGATAGCAGCCTGCAGGTTGGCCATCCAGCAAGCTGGGAAACACAGCCTCTGGTAGATGCCAGGAGCAAGCACTTCAGGAGAGGGAAGGAAAAGACAGAAATGTATGCTGACCAGGTTTGCTAAGTATACACATTCAAGAAACTATAGAAGTCATGAATATTTATAAAAGGAGAAACATGCAGGTAATTGAGCTTCATGCCTCTTCAAGTGTTACATGTTCAAAAGCTGACAGCATTAGCAGAATTCAAGGGTGGAATTTTCAGCCCTCTGACATCAAAAGGTGATGCAGAGAACACAAAATTTCTCACTGCACCTGCTCTTTGAGCCAGCCAAAACCAGTCCTGAGATGGTGGTCAGTTTTTAGGAATGAATGCCTTGTGAAACCAGTGAGCTGTCACATCCAAACTGCAGAGAAGGAGAGGGGACCCAGCCTCAGCCTTAGATGATTGGTTTAAGGCGATGAAGGAATGAATCATCTATTTCTTGTTTTCCAGAGCTGGTTTCTGCTCACTCCTTAGGAAACACTTCTGGTTAAAGGTTATTAAGAAAGGGGCAGGCCAATATATCCTGTCATGGTCAGAAACTCTGTTTTTAAGGTTGTTCTGGTATCTCCTTGAGCAAGAGATATTCCATCCAGTTGGTTGGGGGACTTAGAATTTTTTTTTTTTTTTTTTTTGAGACGGAGTTTTGCTCTCGTTACCCAGGCTGGAGTGCAATGGCGCGATCTCGGCTCACTGCAACCTCCGTCTCCTGGGTTCAGGCAATTCTCCTGCCTCAGCCTCCTGAGAAGCTGGGATTACAGGCACGTGCCACCATGCCCAGCTAATTTTTTGTATTTTTAGTAGAGACGGGGTTTCACCATGTTGACCAGGATGGTCTCGATCTCTTGACCTCGTGATCCACCCGCCTCGGCCTCCCAAAGTGCTGGGATTACAGGCGTGAGCCACCGCGCCTGGCCCAGAATTTTTTTTTTTTATTGCTCAATTGCAAACCAGGAGCATAAGCTCAGGTAACTCAGAATATACACTCTAATTGCAGCAGTTGAATGGAGGTTTTTACAGTAAAAGAAGAGGCAGTTCCTAAGTTATTTACCAGAATTTATATCACAATAACATAAGCTAATGATTGACTATACATATTTTTCCTATCACAAATTCGAGGATTATGAAGAAAATGGGTGAGGCAATTAGAAAGAAACAAAATGTCTTTAAACAGTTGATCCCAGGCTTGTGAGTGGGAGGAGTGGCTGAAGTCCCGTAGTCTTATCTCGCTGGGCCTGATGCATTTTGTAGACCTCACAGAACACAAATTGCTCTGAGGTGTTTTTCTTTTGTCAGATACAAGAAAACTACCTCTTACAAAGGAGGTATTCAACAACATATTTATCATCATTTGTTCTACAAAGAAATTGAGGGCTCACATCATGTGTTGTCCATTTAAACACTAATTTTAAGAACATTAAATGCTTGATGCAAAACTAAGATGGGTGTTCAGATAGTGATATGGTTTGGCTGTGTCCCCACCCAAATCTCATCTTGAATTGTAACTCTCATAATTCCCGTGTGCTTTGGGAGGAACCCCGAGGGAGATAATTGAATCACGGGGACAGTTTCCCCCATACTGTTCTCATGGTAGTAAATCTCACAAGAACTTAGGGGAAACCCCTTTCACTTGATTGTTATTATCTCTTGCCTGCCACCACAGAAGATGTGACTTTCACCTTCTACCATGATCGTGTGGCCTCCCCAGCCATGAGGAACTGTAAATCCATTAAACATCTTTTTCTTTATAAATTTACCCAATCTCAAGTATGTCTTTATCAGCATCATGAAATGAAATAATACAGATAGGTAGAGAATAAAATTTAAACTTACTTAAAAATTACTTCTTAGAATTAAATGCTGTGTGTGATAATTAACATTTTAGTTTTAATTAAACAAAAACAATAAATACCATTTGGCATTCTATCTATTTAATGTGTAAGGTTAAGGCATAAGAGAGAGCAAACATGTCAAGCTTGTTAAAGTGCAATACATATATATTTTCTTCCGTGTCTAACCAACTTTACAAATTCTGAGGACTACTGACATATAAGCAGCAAAGGAACTGATAATCAATTAGCAAGACAATTGGCCCTTAGATAATTAAAGAGTTGGCCTTAGGAGAAAACAAATCAATTGAACATGTAGTTCATAAAAAGGTGAAAACAACAAATAAGAGATAACACCAATGAAAATGTTTTATTATTTACATTGCTTCAACTTTCAAAAAACAGATCAATTCACATTAGAAACATAAAATATGAATAAAGATTTTAAAATATCACCAAAAAAAGTAAAATGTTCTTCATCTCCATTGCCACCAATCAAAATCCTCTCTTCAGTCCCCTTTTGCTTATGCTATTGCAACAAACCCTAGGGACACATTGGTATCCCTGAGACTAGCACTGAGCCTCTCAAATTCATTTTCTACCCCATAAGAATATTTCCAAATAGCAAATCTGAATTGTATCACCTTCTTGTTTCCCTAAATTGTCGTTAAACTACTTATATCAAAATAATGTAAGAGTATTTATTTAAAATAAATATTTCTGTTTTTCACTACAGACCTAAGGAATTGTAATCTCTGGGACAGGGGGCCCAGAAAATCATGTTGTTAGAAAGATTCCTAAGTGTTTCTTAAGCACAGAAATATTTGAGAATCTCTACCTTTGAGACAAATTTAAATATTTTGCTTCAACGTAATTTAACAGATCCTATAGTTTCTTTTCTTTTATTCTATCATGAAATCATCTTTATTGCATTAAATTTTATTGATATCTTTCAATTTTAAAATTGAAAGAATTTTCAATTTTATGTAAAATTTTTCTTCTTCCTGGAAAACATCCTGATCCTCTGCCCCCAACTGCCTTCACTTTTTCCCTTAGTTTGACTAACTACTATTTATGTGAACAATCAGACAAAAAATACTATCTTCTAGAATGTCTACTCTATCCAATAGATTTTCTGATTGGCTGCAGGTTGAAAACACTTGAGAACTTCAATAAATACTAATACCTGGATCCTAAAAGAAAAGATTGTGATTTAATGGATCTGGGTTACAGACACTGGTCATTGAGGTTACTGAAAGCATTCTGGGTTGCTCTGCATGCAGTCAGAATTGACAACCACAGCTATCTTCTACGTTTGAATTTCCTGCCTGATTGCTATCACTTATACTGATACTTTATACTTTCCCTTATCAAAACCCTTAGCTCACTTTATTGAAATTGCTTTGTGGCTATAAACTGCTGGGGATGGGATCCTTAAGACTGATAAGGTTAGGCTCTTTGTTCCATCCAAATCTCCTATGATTCCCAGTGTTGAATGTGGGGCTTTGTGGGAGGTGATTGGATCATGGGGGGATCATGACACTAAACCTTCATGAATGGTTTAGTGTCATGGTTTAGTGTCATCCCTTCAGTGATTAGTGAGTTCTTGCTCTGAGTTAACTCAAGATCTGGTTGTTTTAAAGTGAATGGCACCTCTTCTCTCTCTCTCATTCTGGCTCTCACCATGTGATATGCCAGCTCCCATTGCTTTCTGCCCTGGTTGGAAGCTTCCTGAGGCCCACACTAGAAAAAAAATGTTGGTACTGTGCTTCCTGTGTAGCTACAGATTCATGAGTCAAACTAAAACCTCATTTCTTTGTAAATTACCCAGCTTCAGCTATTTCTTTATAGTAATGCAAAAACTAACAAATGACTGTCTTAGAATCTCCTATCTATGTAACACTCAGTACAGAGAGACAGTTAAGAAGTAACTCAAGGAATATCTGCTGAATAGAATTAATAATTTTGACTAATCACAAAGCATTTTAAATGCTATTCTGATAGCCTTTGCCTTCTATACACTTGTTCTAGAGTATAAGATTCCAGGGCAGTTGTGATTTTAATACCATAAAAGCCTGGAACTATAAATGTTCAATGAATATTTAAGGAATAAAAAGAAAAGTAAAATACCATATAATTTGAAACAATGTTTAGAAAATTAAACAATTAAATCTCTTGAAGTAATCTAAACCATATAGGAACACATCTTTGGAAATTTATTTATGGGCTGATTAGCTTTTAATGACTAGGTATTTATTATTTGTTTATTAAATCTTGTCTGGGAAAACTGGTTTCTAAACGTGACTGAACATTTAAATCAATTGAGTAGATCTTTTTAAGTATAAATTCTTACAAAGTTTAATTCAAATTTTATTATTTGGGTCCAAGAAATGTAGTTTTGAAAAGTAAATAAAAACAAATTTTCCTTATTATTTCTATTTTGAACTACAAACCTGCTTTTTTGGAAAAGAAAAAATGGCCCAAGATGCTACATAGGAAAATTTGACGAGCGTAGTTGGAGTGCTTTTGTTTTGTTTTGCTTGGTTTTCTTTGTTTTGAGGCAGAGTCGTACTCTGTTGCCCAGGCTGGAGTACAGTGGCCTATCTCAGCTCAACGCAACCTCCAGCTCCCAGGTTCAAGTGATTCTCCTGCCTCAGACTCCCAAGTAACTGAGACTACAGATGCATGCCACCATGCCCAGCTAATTTTTGTATTTTTAGTAGAGACAGGGTTTCACCATGTTGGTCAGGCTGATCTTGAACTCTTGACTTCAAGTGATCTGCCTGTCTCAGCCTCCCAAACTGCTGAGATTACAGGCATGAGGCACCGTGTCCAGCATAGAGTGCTTATTTTATTTAAAGAGATGCTACGTTATTCCACTTAAATTGTTTCATAAATTTAATTTTTAAGTAACTTGTTTTTGATTTAACTTATCTTTGACTCTTCTGGCATTTTACTTCCTGCAATAAGTTTTAGAAATTTAAGAGATTTACAGCATCAAATCTTTAACATAATAGTTTTGTTTTGATGTCAAGTTTGCACATTTAAAAATTGTTAAAACTGGATCTGGATTCTTTAATCTTAGAAGTTGGCTACAGAAAAAAAGAAGAGAAATACTTTCTCACACAGGAAAACAAAGTCTCAAAGTTATGACAGTGCATTATATTTTCAGAGAACATTGAGATGTTCTTGAAACATGCAAAAAAATAAGAAATGATAGCTAATTAGTATCCAATGAATTCTATATGGCTATTGCCAGACAATATGATCAGGATTCTATTCAGGAAAATATTATGTATATATGTGTATGTGTATATGTGTGTGTGTTTGTAAGTGTGTGTGTACCCAATTCACATCTAGGTTGATTAAATAAGAACTTTAGATTTCTTTGTTCAAAGGACTAATTTATTTTATTAGGAGATAAGTAAATTCAGCTGTGAATGTTTTAGCATTTAATGACTTCCTGATTCAGAATGAATTCAGCAATAAAAGCTAATTAGAAGGGAAATGAATGCCTAAAATATCCCTCATGTGCATAAAAGTATAAAGATCATTAATTGAAATTAAAATTTAACAGTATACTAATGCACCATGACATAAAACTCCATCTGTTATACAGCATCACAAAAACAGAAAAAAATACATAGGGAATAGTTCATCTTTCTTAGGCTTTGACTGGATAATTGCTCATTAATAGGAATGTATTTTGATAAAACATGGTGTTGATAGTAAGAATTCCAACATATATTGTAGTAAAATTTCTTCTTTTTCCTCTTTAAGCTCAGTTCCTTTTCTTGAAAAAAATCTAGTTGGTGGCTGGGTGTGGTGGCTTATGCCTGTAATCCCAACATTTTGGGAATCCAAGGCAAGTGGACAACAAAATCAGGAGTTCAAGATCAGCCTGACCAACAGGGTGAAACCCTGTTTCTACTTAAAAAAAAAAAAATAGCTGGATGTGATGGCAAGCACCTGTAATCCTAGCTACTCAGGAGGCTGAGGCAAGAGAAGCATTTGAAACTGGGAGGCGGAGGTTGCAATAAGCCATGATCCTGTCATTACACACCAGCCTGGGCGATAGGATGAGACTCCCTCTCAAAAAAAAAGAAAAAAAACGTAAAAAAGAACTCTTGTTGGTAAAGTGTGACAAAAAATGCTGTTTCTTATGATGAAAAATAATGTTAATGCCATAAATTGCATGCCCCTCACATAACAATATAAACATATATGTTTGAACACATGTATATTTATATGCCTATGTGCTTGAACATATGTATAATTATATGCATGTAAATATATTTTATGTAAATTATGGGCATTCATTTTTGAAAATACAAATGAAATTTTAAAATGGTCAAGAAGAAAAGAATGACACTGTGTTTTTTGCATAGAAAGTTTATATAATTTAAATTAATAAACTTTCTATAGTTTTTGTAGTCAATATTCTTATATTTTCTAGATGCATAGCATAATCTGATATATATCTTTGTTTTTGTATTTGAAATATAAATATAATATGTGTTTTGGTTTGCCTGACTGCATGTAATACTCAAATGTACAGTGAGGATTTTATCTGCATATAAACTATTAAGGGAAAAATAATTATAACTAAAATCAATAAGAAATTGCTACAAGTTTTGCCACTACCATAAAGCACTCACATTACAACTACGTAAGGATAAAAAGTACTTTGCAACGCCATAGCTTTTAGTCATAAGCAAAGTATATGTTTTACCATATTCTGTTATATGAACTGACACATAGAAAACATTTCACAAAGTTGAAGAAAAAGAGTTTTAAAAGTTAGAAATAACTATATGAATAAGTATGTTAATATCAGTATTATTTAAAGCAGCAAAATAAAAAAATAAAAATAAAAATAAACAAATAAAAAAGAACCTAAACCAAAATAATAGGAACCTACTTAAATTTTCAGGCACAGGTAAACAATCATCTATATAATATCACATACAATAATATGCATCCATTTACAATACAAAATGTAAAATTCTGAAGTATGAGAAAAAAAACAATGTCATGTTGAATTTCATAAAACAATATTAAAGAAAATTACACTATGATTAGAAATTATATAAGTAATTATATTAATGTTGAAAAACCTTTTATATAGAATGCAATAAAATAGATTTTATGTGGGGCTCTATCTGTCTTTCCCTACTTGGGTTCCATTTTTTTTTCCCTAGCTACATTATTAAGTAATATTTAAAATGACTGCCAACTTTCACTCCCACCCAGCCCATATTTTTGGCCTTCCCTGATGTTGAAAGTGTAGTTACTTTTTTTTTTTTTGAAATGGAGTTTCGCTCTTGTTACCTAGGCTGGAGTGCGGTCTCGGCTCACCGCAACCTCCGCCTCCTGGGTTCATGCAATTCTCCTACCTCAGCCTCCTTAGTAGCTGGGACTACAGGCACGCACCACCATGCCCAGCTGATTTTTTTTGTATTTTTAGTTGAGACGGGGTTTCGCCATGTTGACCAGGATGGTCTCGATTGACCTCGTGATCCACCCGCCTCGGCCTCCCAAAGTGCTGGGATTACAGGCTTGAGCCACCGCACCCGGCCCGTTACTTTTTAAATATAGAATCCTGCTCCTTCTATTTTTTGCTCTGCCATTATCTGCTTTGGCTTTCTCAGGTATACAATCAAAAACACAGGTCCTGAGTGTTTTCTACGTGCAAGTAACATATTCTAGGCTCTCCAGATGATCCAGTCGTAGACTCTTTTGTTTCCATTGGACTTAAGAAAAAGTGCAGATATTTCCATACAAAGCACAGCTTCCTCCAAAGAAGCCCTCCTCTGACCTATATACCTTGATCCACCTTGTATATATTTTTGTATTCTTGACCTAACTGAAGTGTGTTAGAGTCAGATAACTGCTTCTAAAAACTTCCTTTATGAACCTGCACTAGAATTTAGCACCTTACTTTGGTATTGTACAAGAATGGTTTTCAGAAAGGCTTCATGGTACTCATCAGAACACATTGTAAGAAATTGATAACGCAAATAATTACGTGATTTTTCCTGGAACAGTAAGCCTTTAAACAACTTCTCGCATATAAATGAGTATTGCCTAAATTGCATAGTGTTTTGAAAGAAGCTAGGTCTTGTACAATATTTTAATTGGACTTTAACTCAAAAATATACTCTTTACAATTCATGTGTATGTATGCCAGAGAAAACATAGATTATCCATTATTAATCACAAGAATTATCATGAATTCTCAAAGTGGCATGATTGGAAACCATATATGATTAGGAACCCCATTTGTTATAGAAGGAAACCTAAGCTAGCCTGTCATAAACACAGAACATTAGCTATCAGGCACCATGAACTTATGTCTTTATTCTGACATGCACAAGTTGAGAAACAAGGGCAAATAAGATAATCTCTCCAAATTAAGTTTATCTAAAAATGTCTAATAATTACTGTTTTGTCTGTCTCAAAAATTTGTTAAGGTCATAATAGAAAAATATGTATAAAAATAATTTACAAATTTTAAATGGCTATACAATGGATGTTCCAGGATATACAACAATTGGTATTGATTGACAAATACTATGGAAAAAGAAAGCACATAGCTTAACAAACTTCCTGGTTTAATTTGTGGATTATGCTAGAAATACATCATTTACATGTAAACAATTTTAAAATTCTGTATGGTATTCAGCTGATGCTGCCCTTTTCCTAATGGTACGATGAGATTTGAGTGTCCTGCTCCCCATTCTAAATATGTTTCAAATCCTGACAACTGATTAACAGTCAGCATAACCTATTCAGTCTCTATTTTTAATTCTGTAAACACCCCAGCCTATATTTGGAAGATTTTGAGTGACACTATCAGATGTACTCTATTATAATTTCTATGACGGTTGTGTATTAGTCTGGCACATAAAACTAATTATCATAAGCAGGAACTACCTTGATTCTGTTATTCACACTTTTCCCCCAACACTTAGTACAATGTGCACATAAGTGGTTAATAAATGTCTGTGAATGCCTTTTTAAAGCTGATGATATAAATTAGCATGACAAGGAATTCTTTATCTTTAATTCTATGAATTTTTATAAACAGCAAAGCAATTTTAATGTAAATTAAACTTTCTTAACAGTATTAACTTAGTAGTAAAGTCTATAAATTATTTCACTAAGTCAAATTTAATTTTACTGAAATATTGTCTTGCAATACATTATGTATATGACAGATTGCACTAAATCTACACCCTATACCATATGACTTCTACCACATCTCACTAAAGAGGTGGAATCTGTTCCTCCATCCCTTCACTCATTATAACTTACATGGGCTGCTAGAATGTGTTGGAAGTGATTAGTGCACTGGTTCTAAGCTTAAGTAATAGAGGTTTTTGTATATTTTAGTTTACTTGATCATTCTCCTTTGTTTCAACATGAGACCATTGTCAGGTAAGCATGGTGGAGGAGGCCTAGTCACCCACAACAACCCAGGCAACAGCCAGATGACAGAGAGCCAATGGATACCGAAACACTAAATGTGTGTGGGAGCCCATTTGAGATCAGAACAGCTGTCTCAAAGTTCAACCTAAATTATCGACCTACTATCCAAATGTGCTACGTAAATACTTACTGTTTTAAGCTATTTCTTTTGGGATAATTCATTTAATGTAATGATTATATTACATAATATTTTTATATAGTTATTATAGTTATTGTGTTATATAGTATTATTGTAACACTAAATAACTGATGAAGAAACTCTACTGCTTACTTTGATTGCTCTTAAGAATCACTTAATGTTGTCTAGAGCAGCAGTCCCCTACCATTTTGGCACTGGGGATTGGTTTCCGGGAAGACAGTTTTTCCATGGGCCAAGGTCAGGGGATGGTTTGGGGATGATTCAAGCACCTTACATTTATTGTGCACTTTATTTCTGTTATTATTACCTTGTAATATGTAATGAAATAATTATAAAGCTCACCATATTGTAGAATCAGTGGGAGCCCTGCTCTTGTTTTCCTGCAACTAGACAGTCCCATCTGAGGGTGGTGGGAGACAGTGACAGATCATCAGGCATTCGATTCTCATAAGGATCACAAAACCTAGGTCCCTCGACACATGGTTCACAATAAGGTTCACACTCCTACGAAAATCTAGTGCTATCCCTGATCTGACAGAAGGCAAGACTCGGGCACTAAAGAATGTGAGCCTTGGGGAGCTGCTATAAATATCAATGAAGTTTCACTTACTCACCTGCCGCTCACCTCCTGCCATGTGGCCTGGTTCCTAACAGGCCATGGACCAGTACTGATAGGAGGCCTAGGGGTTGAGGACCCCAATTCAGACAGTCAAATAATATGTATAAGTATGAAATTTATTTAAATGCATGGTAAAAATTATCAAATATCTCAATATTCCAGGGGATTTAGAAATATACCCTGCAATAAAAATCATCTATTCTAAAAGTGAGATAATGAGCTACAGGGTAGCAGACAGTGTGAAATGAATATTCACATTTAAAAAAGAAATATATGCTGCTGAGTTACTGTTCATATTCTTGTTCAAGTTACTGACATTAATTCAACCTTTACTTTTCACTGCTGTGTTTGGTTTTACTGGGCACAGTTCAGTTCAAATAAATGTTCTTTGTGTGAATAACTATCAAGCATTCAACTAAAATGCTTTTTTATATTTGGACCAGAAAGACATTCAACTTTGTTCTTAGTAAATACTACTCAAAATCTATTTACAGTTTACTAGGTTGAGTACTTATTTATTTTCATTTTACTATATTAATGGGGACAACTACATCCTGGATGTTAGCACAGGTGGGGGAGGCTTGTACTCTTTACCCACTTCAGTTAGTATAATTTTTTTTCTACACTCCACTGATAGAATGATTTTCCTAAAGATTAAGTCTGATTATATTACTACCAAGTTCAAGAACCTCATCCTTTGTACCTTATGGTGTGTTTCTCCCTTAACCTTTCTGGATTTATTTACTTATTTTTACTTTTCTTCTTAAAACATTGAATTCTGCCTGCTTTATTTTTTTCTTTCACTGTCCACATCTCTCGACTTTTGGTCCCACAGACATCTCCTGAGACTTTATGCTAAGACGCTTTGCTCTCATCCATAAAGGAGAGCATTAAAGTTGTGCGAAAGCAGATGGATTAAGAAACAGCAGGGGAAGAAAAAATAGCTATACTGTCATCATACTAATTCATGTTTATTTTCAGATCAAAGGAGCTAGGACA